GTAGTAGTAGTAGTAGTAGTAGTAATAGTAGTAGTAGTAGTAGTAGTAGTAGCAGTCATAGTAGTAGTAGTAGTAGTCGTAGTCGTAGTCGTAGTCATAACCGTAGTAGTAGTAGTAGCCATAGTGGTGGTAGTAGTAGAAGTAGTAGTAGTACTAGTTATAGTAGTAGTAGTAGTAGTAGTAGTACATCCAGAAGTAGTAATAGTAGTAGCAGTAACAATGGTAGTAGCCGTAGTAGTAGTGGTAATAACCGTAGTAGTAGTAGTAGTAGTAGCAGTACTAGTAGTAGTAATAGTAGTAGTAGTAGTAGTAGCAGCAGTAGTCGTTGTAGTCGTAGTGAAATTAGTAGTAGTAGTCGTAGTAGTAGTAGTAGTCGTAGTACTAGTAGTAGCAGTAGTAGTAGTAGTCGTAGCCGTACTCGTAGTCATAGTCGTAGTAGTAGAAGTAGTAGTAATAGCAGTAGTAGCCGTAGTAGTAGTAGTAGTAGTAGTAGTAGTAGTCGTACTAGTAGTAGCAGTAGTAATAGTAATGGTAGTAGTAGTGGTCGTAGTAATAGTAGTAGTCGTAGTAGTAGTGTAATAATCGTAACAGTAGTAGTAGTAGTAGTAGTAGTAGTAGTAGTAGTAGTCGTCATCGTAAAAGTAGTAGGAGTAGTAGTAGTAGTAGTAGTAGTAGTCGTCGTAGCAGTAGTAGTAGTAGTAGTTGTAATATTATTATTAGTAGTAGTAGTGTCAATTGTATCAGTAGCAGTCGTAGTCGTAGCCGTAGTCGCGGTCGTCATCGTAGTCGTAGTCGTGGTCGTAGGTCGTAGTCGTTCGTGATCGTAGTCGCAGTCGTAGTCGTAGTCGTGGTCGTAATCGTTGTCGTAGTAGCATTCGCTGTCGAAGTGGTAGCCGTAGTCGCAATCGTACTCGCAGTCGTAGCTGTAGTCGTAGTGGCAATCGTAGTCGTCATCGTAAAATTGTAAAACCAGGAGTAGGAGCAGGAGTAGAAGCAGGAACAGGAGGCAGAGTAGACATAGTCGCATTGTTAATCGCACTGGTAGTCGCTGTCGTGCTCGCAGTCTTGGTCGTGGTCACAGTCGCAGTCGTCGTCGTCGTCGTGGTAGTAGTCATAGCCATGGTTGTAGTAGTCGTAGACGTAGTCGCAGTAGTAGTGGTAGTAGTAGTAGTAGTAGTAGTCGTCGTCGTGGTAGCAGAAAAAAGTAGTAGTAATAGTCGTAGTAGTAGTAGTAGTCGTAGTCGTAGTAGTAGCAGTAATAGTAGTAGTAATAGTAGTAGTAGTAGTAGTAGTAGTAGTAATAGTAGTCGGAGTAGTGGTAGTAGAAATAGAAGTAGTGGCGGTTGTAGTAGTAACGGTAGTGGTAGTAGTAGTAGTAGCAATAGTAGTAGTAGCAGTAGTAGTAGTAGTAGTGGTGGTGGTGGTAGTAGTAGTAGCAGCAATAGAAGTAGTAATGGTAGGGGTCGCAGCCGTAGCAACAGTGGTAGTAGTAGTAGTAGTAGTAGTAGTAGCAGCAGTATTATTAGTAGTAGTCGTAGTAGTAGCAGTAGTAATAGAAGTGGTAATACGATGAATCGAAGCAGTGGTCGGAGTAGTCGTAGTGGCAGCCCTAACCGTACTAGTAACCATCGTCTAGTAGTAGTAGCAGTAGTAGTAGTAGTAGTCGCCGTGAAAGTAGTACTAGCACTAGTACTAGCAATCGCAGTCGCAGTACCAATAATAGTAGACATGATAGTCGAGGTAGTAGTGGTAGTAGTAGCAATAGTAGTAGTAGTAGTAGTAGCAGTGGTAGTAGTAGTAGTAGTAGTAGTAGTAGTAGTAGTACGAGAAACACTAGAAACAATCACAGTCGAAATGATATCAATAGTAGTGGCGTGGCGGGAATCGGAAGTAGTAGTAGTAGCAGTAGTAGTGATAGTAGAAGTAGTCGTAAAAGCAGCAGTAGTAGTAGTACTACTAGTCGTAACATTGGGGGTCGAGGTGGTAGTAGTAGTGGTAGTCGCAGCAGTAGTAGTAGTAGTAGTAGTAGTAGCAGTAGCAGTAGCAGTAGCAGTAGCAGTGGTAGTAGTACTACTACTACTAGCAGTAGTAGTAGCAGTAGTAGCAGCAGTAGTAGTAGTAGTAGTCGTAGTAGTAGTCGTATAGTAGCAGTAGTAGTAGTAGTAGTAGTAGTAGTGGTGGTGGTAATAATACTAGTAGCAGTAGTAGTAGTAGTAGCAGTAGTAGTAGTAGTAGTAGTAGTAGTAGTAATAGTAGTAGTAGTGATAGTGATAGTGGTAGTAGTAGTAGTAGTAGTAGTAGTAGTAGTAGTAGTAGTAGTAGTAATAGTAGCAGTAGTAGTAGCAGTCGTAGTAGTAGCAAAAGCCGTCGTAGTGGTAGTAGTCGTAGAAGTAGTAATGATAATAATACTTGCAGTACAAATAGTAGTCGTGGTAGTCGTAGTAGGAACAATACTAGTAGTAGTAGTAGTAGTAGTAGTAGTAGTAGTAGTAGTAGTAGTAGTAGTAGTAATAGTAGTAGTAGTAGCCGTAGTAGTAGCAGTAGTAGTAGTAGTAGTAGCAGTAGTGGTGGTAGTAGTAGTAGCAGTAGTAGTAGTAGTAGTGGCGGTAGTGTCGGGAGGAGTCGTGGTGGTAGTAGCAGCAGTAGTGGTAACAGCCGTAGTCGTAGTCGCACTTGTAGTCGCAGTCGTAGCCGTAGCCGTAGGAATAGAAGGAAACGTAAGAGTTAGAATGGGAGTAGCAATAGAAATAGAAATACTCGCACTCTTAGCCGTAGTCTAGCCCTGATCGTAGTAGTAGTAGTCGTAGAAGAAGAAGTAGTATTAGCAGTCGCAGCAGCAGTACTACTAGTAATAGCAGTAGTAGGGGTCGTAGTAGTCGTAGCAGTCGTAGTCGCAGTAGTAGTGGGAGTAGTACCTGTAGATGTCGTAGTAGTCGTAGCCCTCGTGGTAGTAGTAGTAGTAGTAGTAGTTGTTGTTGTTGTTCTAGTAGTAGTAGTAGTAGTAGTAGTAGTAGTAGTAGTAGTGGTAGTGGTAGTAGTAGTAGTAGTAGTAGTAGCAGTCGTGGTAGTAGTAGTCGTAGTAGTAGTAGTAGTAGTAGTAGCAACAGTAGTAGTAGTAGTAGTAGTAGTAGTAGTAGTAGCAGTAGTAGTAGTAGTAGTAGTAGAAGCAATGATACTATTAGTCGTAGTAGTGGTCGCAGTACAGTGGCAATAGCACTCGTAGTCGCACTCATAGTCGCAGTCGTAATCGCAGTGGTCATTGCAGAAGAAGAAGAAGAAGCAGTAGTAGTAGTAGTAGTAGTAGCAGTAGTGGTAGTAGTAGTAGTAGTAGTAGTAGTAGTACTAGTAGCAGCTGTGGTAGTAGTAACAGGAGTAGTCGTAGTAGTATTAGTAGTAGTAGTAGTAGTAGTAGTAGTAGTAGTAGTAGTAGTAGCAGTAGTAGTAGTAGTAGTAGTAGTAGTAGCAGTAGTAGTAGCAGTAGTAGTACTATTCGTCGTATTAGCAATAGTAAGGTAAATCGTAGTAGCAATAGAAGTAGTAGTCGTAGGGCTAGTACTAGCAGTAGTCGCAGTCGTAGGAGTAGTCGTAGTAGTAGTAGCAGTAGTAGTTGTAGTAGTGGTGATACTGGAAGTGGTAGGGGTAGCCGTTGTAGCAGTAGTAGTAGTAGTAGTAGTAGTCGTACTACTACTACTGCTGCTAGTACGAGTGGTAGTAGTAGTAGTAGTAGTAGCAACAAAAATAGTAGTAGCAGTAGTAATAGCAGTAGTAGTAATAACGATACTAATGGAGTGGTAGCAGTAGTAGTCGTACTAGTAAGAACAGTAGTAGTCGTCGTCGCAATACTAGTAATCGTATTAAGTTGTGTCGTAGTAATAGTAGTCGTCGTGATAATAGTAGCTCTTGTACTCGCAGTAGGATTAGTCATGCTGGTAGTAGTAGTAGTAGTAGTAGTAGTAGTAGTAGTAGTAATACTAGTCGTAGCAGTCGTAGTCGTAGTAGTCGAAGTAGTAGTAGCAGTAGTAACAATAGTTGTATAGGTTTTGGTCGTAGTGGGAGTGGTAGTGGAAGTGGAAGGCCGAGGTGGGAGGACGAACAGGAAGAGTATTAGTAGTATTAGTAGTAGTAGTAGTAGTAGCCGCAGTAATAGAAGTAGCAGTCGTAGAAGTAGTAGGAACCTCAGTTATAGCACTGTTAGTCGCACTCGTAGTCGCAGTCGTAGTCGCAGTAGTACGTTCAGAAGTAGTACGAGCGGTAGTAATAAGAATCGCAATAGTAGTAGTAGTAGTAGTAGTAGTAGTAGTAGTAGTAGTAGGAGTAATAGTAGTAGTAGTAGTAGTAGTAGTAATAGTAGTCGCCGTAGCAGTAGTAGTCGTAGTAGTAGACATAGCAGTAGAAGTAGTATTACTTAGTAGTAGTAGTAGTAGTACTACTACGATACTAGTAGTAGTAGTAGTAGTAGTAGTAGTAGTAGTAGTAGTAGTAGTAGTAATCGTAGTAGAAGTAGTAGAAGTAGTCGAAGTAGTAGTAGTACTAGTAGTAGTAGTAGTAGTAGTAGTAGTAGTAACCGTAGTAGTAGTAGTAGTAGTAGTAGTAGTAGTCACGCTGGTAGTAATAGTAATAGTCGTCGTGGTGGTGGTAGTAGTAGTAGTAGCAGTAGTAGTAGTAGTAGTAGTAGTAGTCGTAGTCGTAGTCGTAGTCGTAGTCGTAGTAGTAGTAGTAGTAGTAGTAGTAGTAGTAGTAGTAGTAGTAATAATCATAGTCGCGTAGTAGCAATAGTGGTATAGGGTGTGGTCGTAGTGGGAGTGGTAGTGGAAGGGGAAGTCCAAGGTGGGAGGAGGAGCAGGAGGAGGGGGAGGAGGAGGAGGTGAAGGAGGAGGAGAGGGTGCTCTGGGAAAACAAGAACTGCACTCAGGATAAGGGGAAAAAGCTTCCAAAGCAGACCCCCTGGAGTCGTGTAAGAGCAAAATGTGTGTTGTTTGTGTGTGTGTGTGTTTGCGCTGCGGGTGGGAGTCGGAAAAAGAGGACGAACGACTAGTAGAGGGGCCCTTTTCCTGCCGCAGATGCGCCCATAGAGCTTTCTGAAGCGTCAGCAACCAGCTACTGCAGGAACGCGGCGACATACAAAGAGCTGCAACGCCTTGAGCCCTGATGCCGATAGAGGTCGAAGACTGCTATCATTCCCAAGCGCATTACATCTATATCATCATGCTGCCCGCTCCTAACCAAGGCGCCTGGCCTACGGCCCCATGAACCACATGCACTTGCACGGCCAATTAACGTACGTCGCGGCTCATCTCTCGACGTGTCGCAGAAATGCGCAATGTGTCGAGTGGAGGCGCTGTCAGGCATGATCGAAGTATTCAGAAACCTTCTCCCCCCAACAAAAAGCAACTAAGTCTAAGCAGCTCCCCGGCGAATAAATGTGGCCAAGTTGGCATAGCAATGCTACTTCATTGCACTGGGACCAACAAGGAAACCAGAAGAGAAACCGTAGCACTGCAGCCTAGACGCGGCAACCAGATCCTAAGACGGGCTGCCCGCACATATCGTCACTCGAAGGCCGAGTGTCATGGAAGAGATATATGAACAGACGGGCCGGTGCAACGACTGCAGAGGACACCGAAGAAGAGCGGGGTGCCTCAGCAGCCGAACAGCGGCAGCAATCACCTACAGATCTGTGCGAGATGATGACGGACGGTGCCTCTGCTTTCGCCTCCCTCCGCGGCTGGTCCCTTCCCTTCGCCCCTCCCGGTGCCGCTTCGCCATCGCACGCCCTGCCCTCTGGCCGACCCGCGCTGTGCGAGCGCCAGCACTGCATCCGAAAAAGTCTGGACTGTGCCCGCTTCGCCCGCGAGGGTCTGCGCTGCACGAGGACAATGTCCTGCGGGCCCCAAGAATATAAACCACCACCGCCATTTTCCATGCCCCCTCCCTCCTCCACCCTTCTCTTCCTCTCCTCGTCCCTGGGAGGGGGAGGGGGTGAGGAAGGTGGTGGTGGTGTACGGTCGGACCTAGGACGGAAGAACATCCTCCATGAAGATGCGACCCTCCACCGGCCCAAACTGAACAACATCCGAGGGTGCCCCCCAGGGTGAACAAGGACATCCAATCAACACGAAGCACATTAGGGTACCCTCCCCGAGCCGACCTGGATCTGAGACCTCGGTCCAACCGCATCTTGTTGGCCCCCGTATGCCCAGAAGCCGCCAGCGGAGTCGAGCTCAGGGCAACAGGTGCGAGGCTGGGCTCCGCCGCCGCTGTCCGCCTGCACGGCGGCTCGCCGCCGTCCTCTGGCGGCGTGCCGTGCCGCTCCAGGCTCTGTGGCGGCCGTGCTCCCAAGCCACGGCAAATCAGATCGGCAAGCGGCAGAGAAGCGCGTGCAGCCGCTGAGTCGGAGAGGACGAGGATGAAGACGAGGAGGAAGCGGATGAGGAGGCGAAGCGCGAGTCAAAAATTAGCCTGACGAAGAACCCAACCATACGCAATTGTGAATCGGAGGTTAGGGGGTGAGATCGAAGGGGAACGGAGAGCCCCCCACTGGGAAATCGGTTTCGGTTTCGTGTTCGTGCGTGCCGTGCGTGCGGGCGAGGCGACGTTGCGTGGGCGGGCGAGAGGAGAGTCTCCTGTGGCTGAGGCGCGGCCGGACCAAATGATTCTCCCTCCGGCAAGCGGTGGCCCGCGGTGGCCCGCCGGTGTCCCGCCGGTAGCCCGCTTGTGGCTGGGTCCCGGCCGGACCAAATGATTCTCCCTCCGGCAAGCGGTGGCCCGCGGTGTCCCGCCGGTGTCCCACTGGTGTCCCGCTGGTGTCCCGATGTCCCGCTGGTATAGTGAGACCGATGACGAAATCGATTGTGAGATCGATGGTGAGATCGACAGTGAGATCGATAGGGAGATCGATCGTGAGATCGATAGTGAGATCGATAGTGAGATGAATAGTGATATCGATTGTGAGATCGAGTGATATCGATAGGGAGATCGATAGTGGGATCGAAAGCGAGATACACAGTGAAATCGATCGAGTGAGATCGATAGTGAGATCGATCGAGTGAGATCGATAGTGGGATCGATGGTCCCAAGAGCGAGCGGCAACGCAACAATCACCACTGTTGCCCATTGCTGGCCCCCCTCCCCCCAAACCTCCTTATCACCCGCAAGGTGGTCTTATAGGTACCGCGTTGTGGGTACCACTTTCGGTGGAGCTCCCCCTGGGGCTACGAACCGTGTGAGGGGTATGCCAAAATGAGGCGGCGGTGCCATGCGGACGCCCCCACTGGGGCCTTCGGTGGCGCTCCCTACGGGGCCACGAACCGTGTGAGGGATGTGCCAAAATGGGGCGGCGGGGGTGTGCCAAAATGAGGCGGCGGTGCCATGCGGACGCTCCCACTGAGGCCTTCGGTGGAGCTCCCTATGGGGCCACGAACCGTGTGACGTGTGAGGGATGTGCCAAAATGGGGCGGCGGTGCCATGCGGACGCTCCCGCTGGGGCCTTCGGTGGAACTCCCTATGGGGGCCACGAAGCGTGTGAGGGGTGTGCCAAAATGGGGCGGCGGTGCCATGCGGACGCTCCCGCTGGGGCCTTCGGTGGAACTCCCTATGGGGCCACGAACCGCGTGAGGGGTGTGCCAAAATGGAGCGGCGTTGCAATGCGGACGCTCCCGCTGGGGCCTTCGGTGGAGCTCCCTATGGGGGCCACGAAGCGTGTGAGGGATGTGGCAAAATGGGGCGGCGGTGCCAGACGGACTCTCCCGCTGGGGCCTTCGGTGGAGCTCCCTATGGGGCCACGAAGCGTGTGAGGGTGTGCCAAAATGAGGCGGCGGTGCCATGCGGACGCTACCGCTTGGGCCTTCGGTGGAGCTCCCCCAAAATGAACGGCGGTGCCATGCGGATGCTCCCGCTGAGGCCTTCCCTATGGGGCCACGAAGCGTGTGACGTGGTGTGCCAAAATGGAGCGGCGTTGCCATGCGGACGCTCCCGCTGGGGCCTTCGGTGGAACTCCCTATGGGGGCCACGAAGCGTGTGAGGGGTGTGCCAAAATGAAGCGGCGTTGCCATGCGGACGCTCCCGCTGCCCTATGGGGCCACAAACCGTGTGAGGGGTGTGTCGGAATGGGTGGGATGATGCTGATGATGACGCTGACGATGAAGGAGCGGATGGACAAGGGAGGAGGGGGAGGAGAAGGGGGAGGAGGAAGAGTGGGAACGCGGGGCGCTGTCTCTTCAAAACAAAGACCCAACACCACAGGATGGTTGGGGAAAAAATAGCCAGGCCAAAGGCCCAACCGTATGCAATTGTGGGTATGTGCCGTGGTTGTACGCACCGCGTTCGGTGGAGCTCCCGATGGGGCCACGAAGCCTGTGAAGGGTGTGCCAACATGTGTACGGTGGGCGCATGCGAACGCTCGCATTTGGGCCTTGGGGTGGCGCTCCCTATGGGGCCACGAAGCGTGTGAGAGGTGTGCCAGAATGGGTGCGGTGGGCGCATGCGAGCGCTGGCATTTGGGCCTTCGGTGGAGCTCCCTATGGGGCCACGGGACGTGTGAGAGGTGTGCCAAGATGGGCGCAGTGGACGCATGCGAGCACTGGCATTTGGGCCTTCGGTGGAACTCCCTATACGGCCGCGGAGCGTGTGAGGGGTGTGCCAACATGGGTGCGGTGGGCGCATGCGAGCGCTGGCATGTGGTCCTTCGGTGGAGCTCCGTACGGGGCCACGAAATGTGTGAGGGGTGTGCCAACATTGGTGCGGTGGGCGCATGCGAGCGCTGGCATTTTGGGCCTTCGATGGAGATTCCAATGGGGCCATGAAGCGTGTGAGGAGTGTGCCAACATGTGTGCGGCAGGCGCATGCGAACGCCGACGTTTGAACCTTCGGAGGCGCTCCCTACGGGGCCACGAAGCGTGTGAGGGGTGTGCCACATGTGTGCGGTGGGCGCATGCGAGCGCTGGCATTTGGTCCTCCAGTGGAGCTCCCTACGGGGCCACGAAACGTGTGAGGGGTGTGCCAACATGGGCACGGTGGGCGCATGCGAGCGCTCGCATTTGGGCCTCCGGTGGAGCTCCCTATGGGGCCACGAAGCGTGTGAGAGGTGTGCCAAAATGGGTGCGGTGGGCGCATGCGAGCGCTCGCATTTGGGCTTTCGGTGGAGCTCCCTGTGCGGCCACGAAACGTGTGAGGGGTGTGCCAAAGTGAGGGGGGTGACTGGAGGCCGGAGGAGGGGGAGGAGGAGGAAGAGGAGGAGGGAGGAGGAGGAGGAGGAGGAGGAGGAGGAGGAGGAGGAGGAGGAGGGAGAGGAGGAGGAGGAGGAGGGGAGAAGGAGGAGGAGGAGGAGGAGGAGGAGGAGGAGGAGGAGGAGGAAGAGGAGGAGCAGGAGGAGGAGGAGCAGGAGAAAGAGGAGGAGGAGGTGGAGGAGGAGCGGGGACCTCTCTTCAAAACGAGGACCCAATACCGCAGGATGGTTGGGAATTCGCCGGCCCAGCCCGCCAGAGGCGTGCTAAGATCTCTGGTAACTGCTCAGCAATATTTCTAGTTCGCGCGCGCGGGGCGGGCCCTGGGGGTCCCCGGACGAAAAATACCCCGGCAAGGTCCCGGCAGACTCCCGGCAAGGTCCCGGCAGACTCCCGGCAGACTCCCGGCAAGGTCCCTTTTCGGAGCCCAGGAGGGCTCCAAACGGTCCAAGAGAGGCCCCAAGAGCGCTCCAAGAAGGCCCAAGAAACCCTCAAGAACTCTTTTTCGGAGCCCAGGAGGGCTCCAAATCGGTCCAAAAGGGGCCCAAGAAGCCCTCCAGACGGTCCAAGAAAGCCGGGAGACGCCGAATTATCACTCCCAAGCGCCTACGATGGCCTCAAGACGGCCCAACAGGCCTTCAAGACGCCCCAAGAGGTCCCTAAGAGGCCCCTAAGCAGCCTCCCAAGAGGGCTCCAACTAGCAAAAATCGTCCCATTCCTCAAGAAAACGTGCATTTTTAACATATCCGCCTCTTCGTCTTTCACACCTTTCAAGGCGGCCCAAGAGGCCCCCAAGATCACCCCAAGACGGCCCCAGACCGCTCAAAGACGGCCCAAAAGCGCCCCAAGAAGGCCCAAGAAACCCTCAAGAACTCTTTTTCGGAGCCCAGGAGGGCTCCAAACGGTCCAAAAGGGGCCCGAGAAGCCCTCCAGACGGTCCAAGAGAGCCGGGAGACGCCGAAATATCACTCCCAATCGCCTACGATGGCCTCAAGACGGCCCAACAGGCCTTCAAGACGCCCCAAGAGGTCCCTAAGCGGCGCCCCAAGAGGGCTCCCACAAGCAAAAATCGTCTCATTCCCTTCGGAAAGCGTGCATGTTCAACATATCCGCCTCTTCGTTTTTCACACCTTTCAAGGCGGTCCAAGAGGCCCCCAAGATCACCCCAAGACGGCCCGAGAGACCCTCAAGGTCGCTCAAAGACGGCCCAAGAGCGCTCCAAGAAGGCCCAAAAAACCCTCAAGACAGTCCAAGAGGCCCCATGACGGCCCCATGATTGAGGTCCACAGGGGCAACCTGAACGGAAATGTTGAGCCCCCCGCCCAACACACGCCCCCGAAAAGGCCCTTACAAGCCCCCAAGTGGCCCCACGAAGCCCCCAAGAGAGCCCCAAGAGGCCCCCAACAGGCCGCAAGAAAGCCCCAAGAGGCCCCCAAGAGACCCCCAGGAAGCTCCCAGGAGGCCCCCAAGACGCCAGGCAGACCCCCCCCAAGAGACCACCAAAAGGGCCCACCCAGAGCCATCCACGAGGCCGCCCAAAGTTCCCAAGAAGCTCCCACGAAGCTCCCAAGGGCTCCCAAGACCCCACGAGGCCTCCAAGAGCCCCCAAGAAGCTTCCCAGAAGCCTCCAAGGGCTCCCAAGAGGGTCACAAGTACTCCTCCTGAGAAGCTCCTTAATGCTCCCAGAAGAGACTCCCAGAAGCATCCATGAGCTCTCCGAGACGCCCCCTCCCCAGATCCCCAACACTCAGTTTTTCTCGCGTCCCGCACCCTTGGATCCTTCACTGCGTTTTCCTCCAATTTCGATTGGATGAGGATGAGCTTGGGATGGTCCTGGAAATGCGCGGGGGGGCTCTGGAGTCAGCGTGAATTCTGAAAGGTTGTCGGCCGCGTGTCTTCTGCAAACACAACCAGCAATATGAATAATGGAAAGACCGCACATACATCACCGATCCCCAAACGGCCCACATGTGCATGCATTCGGCAACGTGTATGACGTGGGATGTCAAGCACGACTGGCCCCATCCTCCTCGAAGCGGTCGCCCTCATCATCCTCCGCCTCCACCTCCATCTATCCGTCCCTCCTTCCCTCATATCCCTGCCCCGCCTCCCTCTCCTCCATTTCTCCTCTTCCTCCCCATATTCCCTCCCGAAGCGGGGTGGAGCGGGCCTCGGGCGAACCCTCAGGAGCCCCGACAACATACAGGAATCCCTGCAAAGCTCCGAAGAGGATGAGGAGGAGGAGGAGGAGGAGGAGGAGGAGGAGGAGGGGAAGGAGGAGGAGGAGGAGGAGGAGGAGGAGGAGGAGGAGAAGGAGCAGGAGGAGGAGGAGGAGGAGGAGGAGCAGCAGCAGCAACAACAGAACGGCCCACGAGACGCCCGAACGGCCCAAGAGAGCCCCAAGAGGGCCCCAAGAGGGACCCAAGAGAGGAAACGCGAACCGACAATTTGAGACCTCCGCCCCGACCAGCCCCCATGAGGCCCCAAGAGGCCTGCAAGAGACCCCAAGAGGCCTAAACAGAAACCCCAAGAAGCCCCCCGACGGCCCCCAAGAGCCCTCAAAACTGCCTCCAAAGAAACCCTCGAAAGGCCTGCCACGATTTCTCAACGAACATCCAAGAGGCCTCTGACCTACAACCCAGGCACGGTGGCGGGATGGGACGAAAACCACTAGATAGCCACCTCGTAAGACAGTAGAGGCCGAAACCCCCACAACAAGCTCCAAACAAACTGCTTCATCCCCATGCGTTCTGCCGCAACGCCTCTGGAAAACGACCGCGGCCCACCAGCGCCGCCTGGCTCGCGACCGCGCAAGCAAACGCCCGCGATGGCACAATACGGGCCGGCGGAGTGAGCGAAACGATTCAATAAGAGAAGCATGAGCAAGAGGAGGAGGGAGAGGGTAGAAGAAGGACACATAGTATTGTCATACACTTCTGGAGGTCCGCACAGATTTCTTGGGTCGGCGCTGGACCCCCCTCCCTGGTGCGCGCAGCGCGCCAGGGGCGGCGCCAGAGGCGCCGCCAAGGGTCCAGCACCGCGCCAAGAATTCCACGTGGACCTCCGACAGTTTATGCATATGCCCGTTTTCTCTTCAGATTAACCATATTTTTATGTTTCATCTACTTATGTTCCTTCTTCTTCTTCTTAATAGTATTCTTCTTCTTCGAGAGACAGAGAGAGAGAGAGAAAGGGAGAGAGAGAGAGAGAGAGAGCGAGAGAGAGAGGCAGAAGAAAGAGAGATAGAGAGAGAGAACAAACAAAAAAAGTTAGATCCGCCGGCCCCCTTGTGGGGCCACCAGGCTGTAGGCGCGGGTTCGCAGTTTCCTGTGCCAGTTATAGCTTGTAGTTTCCAGTGTTACAGTTCTGCTTCTTGCTGGTTACTGTAACTAGTTGATTGACCGCGAGAGGCCCAAACGGGATTTTTAGCGTCTCCTGGGCGCGTTGTCTGAATTGCTGGGGGGGCTCGAAATCGACACCCCTCACGCAGATCCGCGGGGTCAGGGTCCAAAAACACATGGGATTTGCCACATTTCTGAAATTCGGCGCCACCCCTCACGCAGATCCGCGGGGTCAGGGTCCAAAAACACAAGGGATTTGCCACATTTCTGAAATTCGGTGCCACCCCTCATGCAGATCCGCGGGGTCAGGGTCCAAAAACACAAGGGATTTGCCACATTTCTGAAATTCGGTGCCACCCCTCACGCAGATCCGCGGGGTCAGGGTCCAAAAAACACATGGGATTTGCCACATTTCTGAAATTCGGTGCCACCCCTCACGCAGATCCGCGGGGTCAGGGTCCAAAAACACATGGGATTTGCCACATTTCTGAAATTCGGTGCCACCCCTCACGCAGATCCGCGGGGTCAGGGTCCAAAAACACATGAGATTTGCCACATGTCTGAAATTCGGTGCCACCCCTCACGCAGATCCGCGGGGTCAGGGTCCAAACACACAGGGGATTTGCCACATTTCTGAAATTCGGCGCCACCCCTTACGCAGATCCGCGGGGTCAGGGTCCAAAAACACAGGGGATTTGCCACATTTCTGAAATTCGGTGCCACCCTTCACGCACATCCATCGCAAGGCGTGGTAACCCAAACTGCGAGAACTCCTGTGGTAACCAAGCCCGTAAACCATACACGTCTTACCAATCGCCAGGTGTGGTAACCCCTCTTGTGATCAGTTGGTTTTGTTGATTGCGAATCGGCTTCGCATGAAGTTTCGACACTGCTTCACGACAGCGCGAAGGCCTCATGACTTAGCTCTTCCATGGCCCATTCTCTGAGAGAGGGGGCCGGCGGCAGAGGGCGAAGCCCTTACGAATCATGCGGATTGATCGCCAGCTTGCATCTACAGCCTATGGCCGCACGGAAGAAAGACGCAGCGCCTGCAGGAAAATGGGCACGCGCGAGCGTGGGCCTGGGGTGCTCCACGTGATCACCATCCGAAGACCAAGCGCCCAAGAACTCGCGGGAACGTGTGCACGCGCGCCAGAGAAATCCGCGATCATCGATCGGCTAGGTGTGGTGATGCGTAGCGACGCAGACAATTCGGCAGGCTCGTGTCGTGACGAGTTCGGCGGTGGCGTCTGACTCCGCGTGGATCGTTCAACCTTGCGCGGTTGCGGCTTCCCAATAGTGCAGATCGCTCGATATCGGCTGATTCTCGGTCACTGGCGTCAATAAACTTTGAACGCCCATGCTGGGGTCGCCGCCGCGTCGACACACGAACCTACCCTACTGGTCGGAGGTCTACGCGATTTTCTTGAAGCGGCGCTGGACCCCCTCGCAGGCGCGCGGAACGCGCCAGCGGCGGCGCCAGAGGCGCCGCCAAAGGGTCCAGCGCCGGTCCGAGAAATCCGCGCGGACCTCCAAGCGCGCCTGCCCCGACTTTCCTCTTGCCATCGCTCAGACATCCCTTCCCCGTGCATTTGTTCGGTTTCGTGCGTGCTCTTTTCCCAGCTGATCCAGGATGCTCCTCGATGATCCTCGCCGAGGAATAATTGCTTAGCGTTTTCTTGTTCGGCGTTTCGACATCGGGCGGAAAGGGGGGAGGAGGAAGGGGGTTTCTGGCTCCGGACCTCTGCTTTATCTGTCTGCAACAGTGCGTCCTTTATGGGGGAGACTCCGCCTGCTTGAAGCAGGCGCCCAAAACAGCCAA